TACACGTGGTCCTGCATCATGTCCCTAACATGTTTATCTTGAGTCCATGGCTCTGAGTGTGAGCATGTACCTGCTGTTTACAAGGGGCAGCCAATCAGAAGAGTTCTTACAGGGAAATAAGCTAAAAGCAGTATCACACAGAGTATCAGACAGGATTAATGGGCCACACCAAGCCCTGCATACGATCAATAAGGATTATTCTCAATTACGGATCAGGCAAAGCTAATTTAATTAAGTTATAAAATAAATGTAATCAGCTGGAAACGCGTATGCTTAGGCCCAACATCACAGGAGTATTAACACATCTGCAACTGTCCCCAACAGCTCCCGTAACATCCTGGACGATTTCAGGGAGGCCTACTATTGGCTGAGGCAGAACACGGACGAGCACGCCAGAGTGATGTCGTGGTGGGACTACGGCTACCAGATAGCAGGCATGGCCAACAGGACCACGCTGGTTGACAACAACACATGGAACAACAGTCATATAGCACTGGTGAGAGCTGATCTGCCCGTTCCCCTTTCTCTCCTGTCCCAGGTTTGGAAAAGCTGGTTTGAGTTTAACCTTTTAAGTCTGAGCCATGGAATGATTGCCAGGAAACTCTAATCCGGGTTGAAGGGTCGTTCCCAGAGTTTACACTTCTGCTTGGTCGTGTGTTTGCAGAGGAGTGTTGTCAGAAATGCGTTCACTGCCTTGTCTTGTTTTACTCGTGTGTTTCCGACTGCTTTTCTCTTACCCTTCTTTTTCTGATGGTTGCTTAGTTACACAACTTCTGTGTAGCGCCCTGAGTATTGATGTGTTGTCTTGGTGTATGACACCACCAAGTGGACACAACTGCATCACTTCACTGCACTGCAAAACCCTAAGAGAGCTTAATACTGTACGTGTGAAAGAGGCACTCCATAGATTCAGTGCTGCACCGCTACAAAGACGCACTGAGGAGGGAGATTTAAATCAAAGCAGCAAAACCTGACTTACTCCTCGAGTCAGTTACCTAAAACCTGAGTCACCTAACAGTTCACTGCAGCATCTGGAGTCATTTATAACAAGTCTCAAAAATTATGCAGAGAAACTTTAACACTTGCAGCTTCACAGCTTCATCGCCTGTAAGTTTTGTCGGGTGGAAACAGTTCTGTAAACTCTCTATTTAATAGCAGACAACACATCTGGCTACTAACTAGCTGTTGCACACAGTGAAAGCTTTTAAAGAAATTAATTTTTTTTCAGGAATTTGTTCAAATCAAACTAGTGAAAGGGAAAATGAATGCTAACGCGTATTCATTCTAGCTGGGTGTGGAAATAAGCCGCTAAAATCCAAGGCTGCCACGAGCTGCGCTACACAAGTTTTTAATCAAATGCACAGCTTGATTTTTAACCTCTGTTGGAGTCATTGTGCTAAGATTAAATATATTTTTTAAACGTGAACTAAATGCTTCAGAGTGGGATGAACTAGTGTAGTAGAAATAAGGATTATTTTGGATTGTGTATCATGCAGAGAATCAAACTAAAGAGCTGGAAATGATCACGAGTCTCTTTTAATTGTCATGTGACCTTGCTCGTTTTAGAGTTCAAAGCTTGAGTCAGATATGAGGCATGAAAATAGGAGCAGAATAAATCACCGTTTAAAAAGAGGTTAACACATGAGGAGCGGATTGAAATTGTGTTGATATCTGGTGAACGCAGTAACCGTCACATACTGTGTGTGTGTATATATAGATAGCGATATAGAGACATGATTCTGCAGTATTTCAAGGTTGGCTGTCACACTAAGAGAGATCAGTGCCCTTGACCAGCGTTAACTCATTTGTACAAAAGGTCTTGAGTTTATGCAGACTGTGGTCTTGTGTTGGCGTCTGCTCGCACAGCTCTGTGACTGCACAACGAGGCTGGGAATTCAGCACTTGCCTTAACAGCAATCGTATCCTCCTGAGAACAGATGAAAAAAGAATCTTCCCATTGAACTTTTTTTGTGATTTCCTGCCTCTCTGGAGATAACCGAGGCCACCCAAACACACCAGATATCAATGAAATTGTCCTCTATTTAGTACATCACATTACAGAGGACATGAATAGTCTGCTTCCCAGGAGGATATCTATGAGTCCAATGCTGATTGGTTGAAAATTTGGCAGGTAAGGGAATGACAGTGAAGTTCATTAGGAAGAGAAGGAACATTGCATGAGAAGCACAGACAATTCAATCCACTAAAGCAAAAATCTGCCTGACTGAGGGGCAGCTGTGACTCAGGTGGTAGTGCAGGTCATCTACCAATCGAATGGTTGGTGGGGATGCTGTCCTTGGAGTCATGGGCAGTATTTTTCTTCCTCCAAACACG